GAAGTAAACAAATGTTTAGATGAGAAAAAACATGTATTAATTGCATTCATCGATTTCAGTAAAGCCTTCGATACCTTGAAACATAACATTCTTATAAAAAAACTCGAAAACTCTGGTGTTAGAGGACGTTTCTTAAGATGGTGTAAAGATTATGTTAGCAATCGATATTTCCAAGTAAAGATAGAAAATAATTTAAGTATTAAAATGCCTATGACTACTGGTACGGCACAAGGCTCAGTTATAGGGCCACTCCATTACTAAACATACGTAAATGAATTAGAAAATATCATTAAAAAATCTAGTTTATACCAATATGCAGATGATACGTGCCTTCTGTCAGAAGATAAAAATCAGGATATCGCCATGCAAAAATTACAAGATGATTTTTCACGCCTCTCTATGTAGGCTCACGATCTAGGACTTGTAATAAATATACAAAAAACTAAGGTACTACACATTCATTCTAGTCATATCAAGAATATTATGCCAGTAAGCATTATTGCTCATAATCATCTTTGTCTGCACAATATAATAACTTGTTCCTGCGAAAAAATCCAACTTGTAAGTATCACACATACTTAGGACTGATTATAGATAATAGGATGAACTGGAAGAATCATATTGACTACGTGTGTAGTAAATTAAGGGAAATCCTAGCGCAATTTTATATTATTCGTAATAAAGTTCCATTTAAAATTCTTCTAATCCTATATAATGCTCTAGTGGAATCGATAGTATCGTATGGTATTAGTAGTTATGGACGAACTTTCCGCACTTACCTAGATAAAATTTACAGCTTACAAATAAGAATTTTAAAATCTATATTGCCTCAACACATTAAGGACAAATATCGAAATGATTACTCATACCTTTTCACGTACTGCAAAGTTTTACCCATACATAAAAAGGTGAAATATATGATTTTAAAAGAATGTTATGAATACTCGATGTACCCAACCCCAAGGGAACGCATTTATAGCACTAGAAATAAAACACCTTATTCACCAATTAGAACTAATAATTACTACGGTAAGAGAACACGTAAATTTCTAATACCATACATATTAAATTCTTTACCTACGGAGATAAGAAGCCAGCTAACCGCACAAAACTTGAAAACAAAACTTAAACATTTTTTCGCATAATAAGAATTCAAAAAAAGTATCTATATATATTATTCCAATGAGAATCATAACGAGCTATATCTATCTATGCCAATAATTGTTAAATTGGACAAATAAACAAAACGTGTTACAAAATATAATACATGAAAAAAAAATATTCCGTAAAAATACACTCCGTGTGTACGCGCATAAGATAGTGCAGTATATCGGATAAGCGAACAACTGAAGACAACAATCACGTTTTTACTTCACTACTCCTGGTAAACAATACCAAAAACTACCTTCTCCACAAAAAAAAAATTGTTTAAGAGATACATATTATAGATTTTATATAAATTTTTATGCCAAATTTTTTTTAATAATTTGTAGCACAATTGTTTTATAGTACTTTATATTTAGTTTAAGTAAAAGTTAATTCCAATGTCATTTAAATAATAAGCTTAAGTAAATTAATGTATAATTAAGAGCAAACTGTGCAGTGCCAAGACAAACAATAGATGTTTAATGGCACGAAGAAATTGATTTTGTAATTAAAACTGTTACTTTGTTGAATAAAATAAAAAATAAAAAAAATTCCGCGCGTTTTTTGATGATCAGCTGATTTCGTGTATTTTAGGTATTTAAGTTTCACTACGGGTTTTGTTTAGGTGTTTTCGTGATTTATTTTATGAAATTATCGTTTCATTTAGCTGTACTAACATGATACAGCGTGAATAAAGCTAATTAAACGTTGTAATTTTTTTTTCATCGGGATCGATTTTCTTTTTGTTCTATCATCAAAGGTATTCTAGCCTTACTACTATCGTCTATCTTCGTTTTCGGAAGTGTTTTAAAAACGTCGCTGTGACTGAAGAACGTTATTATTATTAATGGTTTTAAGTTCTCGTTACTCAATGAGACATTATGCTTTTATTTACGCCCGTATTTTGTCGTCATGTCGATTGTGGTCCAAAAAAAAGGACTTATAATTAGAAGAAGGATATATAATTTCTGGGATATAATTTCTGATGTTCTACTAATTAAGTAGAACAAATTATGCGTAAAATTTAACGCCAACACTATTTCAAAAAAGAGGTTCCTCAAATTAATGAGAAACCTGAAGTCTTATATTTTATTTAATAAAAAAATTAATTTAAGGCTCAATTCACATAGTACATGCACTATATCTATTGATTTCTTAAATATTTGTTACAGATCCAAAAAAACAGCTGCGGAGAAATCAAAGGAAGCAGCAGATTAGCAAATTAGAAACAAATGTAATTTTATAAGTACCCAGTGAAAGTTTAAAGTTTTGCATTTATCTAATAAACTGAAGTACATATTTGGTATTGAGTTAATTTGCAGTTATTTGTTTGTATATTAATGAAAGTGTGCATTTGGTTACTAAAATATTTAATTTTCTTTTTACATATACTCAGTCGACAATATAATGATTACACATTTCTTTTTATTGCGCAGCTTTCAACTTTCAACAGTCATGAGATCAAATTTGTAATAACAACATTACTCAATTAAAAAAGTTCTTTAAATAAAATTGCGTTTACATTATTCCAAAATTCATGCATTAATTTTATAATATACAGATTTAAAAAAAGAGGTGATGACAATTTATGTTTGACTTATTTTTAAAAACTAAACAAGTAAATAAACATAATTTAAATATAAATGCACTTTTAATATCTTAACTTAAAACCTTCATCAGTTTGACCTTTGTCAATTACTCTTGTTAAATAATTATTTTAATATTTACTTATAACAAAATAATACTCTGTACATGCCTTAAAAGTTCGAATGTTTTGTTTAAAATAGCATTATATACTTATCTTTGACAAGTGCAATCAAAGCGAGAATTGGGCTCATACATACAAACGCACATCGTTGTTGTAATTCTGAAGTACAATGCCATTTATTTTAAGAAGACATTTTAGTACTCGTTAGTATGAAAATAACTATATATGTAATTTTAAAGGTGGTAGTAGGACTTCTTTTTCTGCCTCTGAGTCTATCTGGGTACCATTTTAACCGACTTCAAAAAGGAGTAGGTACTCATTTCGACTGTATTTTTTATGCGCTGTACATCAGAACTTTTTTTTATAGAAGTGGGGGGCACGGTTCACCTGATGTTAAGTGACTACCGCCGCCCATGAACATCCGCAACACCAGAGGAATTGCAGGTGCGTTGCCGGCCCTTTAGAAAGGAGTGAGCTTTCTTGAAGGTCGTATCGGTTCGGAAAAATTGCCGGTGGTAAACTATTCCACAGAGAGGTCGTACGCGGAAGAAAACGGACACTAGGAGACCGTAGAGTGGTGAACCGCCAAGCATCCAGATGGTGTGGATTTTTTTAAAGCTGGTGCTTCATTTTATCGAGATCTGATCAGTAGTTTTTGAGTTATCTTTAATAAAGCGTATTTCATAGCGTAGATGATGCTCTCAATTTATTTATATTGAAATCGGTTGTACAAATTTTATTTTTACCACTTGTACCTATTTATGTCGTTAAATAGCAGAAAGTATGCACCGTTGGGTGTGGACATAGAATTTTAACAGTGGTAGAGCCACGCGGCAGCTTTGCTGTTGCACGTATGGGCCGGCTCAAACCGGGGTGGTACCACGACCTCACAGAATACCGGCGTGAAGTGGAAGCTCTGCTTCCGCGTTTCGTCTGGTGAGTGCAGGTGGCCGGAGGCCCAAATCCCCCCCCCCCCCCCCTCCCATCAACATGGTAGCGAAATTAAATGATGATAGACTACCCCAGGAGGGTACCAGCACCGCAGGAGAATCCCTCGCTGAGCATCCACGATCATGTGAGCACTCTCCATAGCTCGCTGAGCGACCTTGAGCATCCTCATACGGCCAGCAGTGAAGGACCACGTCTCAGATCCGTAAGTTTGTAGTAGTGATAATACGACGTAATTGCTTGTATGTGTGCTCCCGGCGACGCCGAATCTCGTACAAAATAAGTTTGAAAGCCATTCTATCGTGTATTATAGTTTTCTATGGGTGTGGACACCAGTGCCACTTACCAACAGGTGGACTTTAAGTTCGATTGTCATCAATTTTATATAAAATAAATAATAATTTGAGTGCATTAGACAGTCATTAAAGTAAACAAAAAAATTTATAACATCTAATTACTGTTTGTACAATATTGATTTTTATAAAACTTATGAACGTTACGGTATTAAGAATTATCAAGCTAACGTGGCAGCTGTTTAGTTCCGTAGCTTGAAAGACCGATGACATTCCATAAAAATCTAGACCTAAACCTTTTGCAGACAAAAAATATTTAAGATTATTTATTACGCCATTATTTAAGATTGTCTGCAAAAGGTTTAGGTCTAAATATTTTATGGAATCTCATTGGACCGCGTTTTTTTTTTTTTTGGGAGTCTATTGTCATTTCTTTACTAAAGAATTGACGTGAGTTATAGGGTATGTTCCGAAATACAACGCAGTGTACTGTCCAATGCAAATGACGTCATGAATCGACGCTATCCTGGTGATTCGTTCCAAAACATTGGACAGTATATGACGTCATACTTTTGCGCCGTTTGGAAAAGTGTTGGGGATTATTTTGTCATTTTGTGCTCCAAAAATCATTATATCCTCCTAATGGATATACCATCAATTATTCTATAATTTTTTGTATTTGAATAAATAGAAACAAATTCTGGCATGCTTCATTCGGCAAACACACAATTAAAAATTGTTTTATTATGGCCGGATATCCGACACAATTTGGCGGCGGCACGCTAGTACAATAAAGTGTCAAATGATGACGTCATTTGCATTGGACAGTACACTGCGTTGCATTTCGGAACATACCCATAATTGTTACCTAGTGTACAAATTGTTTTAAATTATAAGATATTAAATTATCTACGTCTGTCATCTTCATTGTAACTCTTGAGAGATCTTTGATGTATAATGTTGGAATAAACTGGAAATTTCATTGGTAAACCTATTTCTAACTTAACTTCGGACGGAATAGTGTTGCGACTGTCAATTAAATTTTCACAAATTTGCTTGTCTTCGGATTTCAATACTGTCTTCTCTGTACAATCAACCACTTCTCTTTTCTGCCTTATAGGAACTACACTTTCAACTTTTGGGGGAATGTAATTATTTTCGATACTTTTGACTTCATTATTTTTAATAGCACCATTTGTATTTATCACATTATTTACTGGACTGACATTATCTTTATCAACAGCTTTATTATTTTTATCAGATTCTATTTTAATTTGATCATTTTTAATTTGTGATTGCTTTTCGTCGCTTGTCTGAAAACTACCCTTTAGTGCTATTGGTAAAGGTACATTTTGAGCTATTCCATCGTTTACAAGATTTTGTACATTTCTTTTAACCAAATCCTCGCCTTGCTTATAAGACTGAGGTTCATCAAATGAATGAGAATGTGCTTTGTTAGTATTCAATTGTTCTTTGGCGACTTCTATTTGTTTATTTAACTCATTCATTACATTTTCCAAATGTTTTTCGCCTACATCATTTTTTGAATTTTCATTCAACTGCGCAGAACCTTGATTTATGGTGATCAATTTTTTTTCTTTAATTTTATTTTCGTTTAATGATTCAACTGGAGCTGTATTTTTTTCTTTCTTGTTGCCAGTGATAACTTTAGGTAAAACACTTACGGTACTAAAATGAGGTTTAACATCGCGTGGAGCATTAACAGGTATTACGTTCTCTTTATTGTCTACAACATTTTTATTGTCTTTAGTTTCACCATCTTTTTTCAATAAGTTTTCCATAGGTTCCTTTATTTCCCCTATAGCTTCTAATGTTTCCGCGGCTTTTTTGGCTATTTCTTGAACTGCATCATTAGCTATCTTTTGTAAAGGCTCTACTTTTTTGTCAAAGGCTTCTGGCACTGGTTTATCAGTAACTCCTGATAGACTTTGTATCGCCATATTTGCGATCTTTTGTATACTTTCTACAGCAATTTTCTTCGCTTCGTTGTCATCTATTTCTTTTTTATCTTTTTCCAACTCTTTCTTAGTCTTCAAAATTTCATGTAATATTTCTTTTTGTTCTTTAATAAGTTCTTTTTGTTCTTCTCCGTGTTGTTTGATGGTCTCCATTAGCTTTTGTTGTTTTAGTATATCTATCTTTTCCTGGTTAGGATCAAGTTTCACGCTCTCTTCCTTAGGTTTTTCTATGTTACTAGGCTCTGGTTTGTTATTACCATTTGTTAATTTAGTTTCTTCTAATTTCATTTTTAAATCTTTCGGATGCGTTTCATGTACTTTCGTGCTATCTTTTATATCATCTTTCGAATCAGCTTGAACAACGGCAACGGGTCCTTTTTCGTTGGAGTGAGATTCTGGCGGTACTGGGTTGGGAGGTTGCACTTCAGAATCTTTCAGTACTTCGTTAGCTTCTTTATGTTCAATACTATTTGGGACAGGATCATTGTTGTCAGCTTTCTGCAGAACACCTAAAATAAGATAGGGCAGGTAAAAAATTTGAACTTCTAGCATAGTATATAATTTAGTTAACATACAGTGAAAACACAACCCGCTACTCCATTTCTCTACGAATGTTAACAATGTTTGGCTATTCTTGTTTAGAAATATTTGGACGTAAAATATTCCGTTCGTTGCTTGAAATAACAATTACTTGGTGTACGAGCAAGTACATGATATTTCAACAGTTTAGAAAATAATGCTGATATCGCGCCTGCGCGCGCGACACGCACACTATAATTACATTTTTTATTCATAAGTATTTTCAGTACAATAAACGCTCTCTACGGAAACGGACACAGTTTTAATTACCACATCCCGTAACGTAGAAGATACAACCTACATTAATATACTACATATCAATTATATGTAGAGGGTCACAATTCACAAAATACCCCCTACATTTTGGTCCTTCGAGTTTTCGACGTGAACTAAGACTTGCATATTACGTCTACAATAGTTCAACAGTAAAGTGTATTTGAAAAAAAAAAAAAAAAAAAAAAAAAGAGTTATTCGTGATTCTATCTGTAGTGTCACTTTGGTTGCTGGCCTCCCACAAGCGGGTCTCACCAGCTTGATTGAGGTGCATACTACGGTAAGAGTCGCAGTCACACGTATCTGAAACCAACTATTTACAACATCGTTCTTAAACCATGGAGAACCTACTTCAACAACAGAGAACAATCATTGAATCTATCCTTAAAATTGAGGCTAACTTCAAAAAGGATTCTGATTCACGTAAGTCAGGAACATACATACAGAAAAGGTTGGATGCTTTGAATGCTCAATGGGAGGTGTTCAACATGAATCATGGTGTTCTAAAAAAAACAGACAGTGACTTGGATGACGACTATTTCATCAATGATACCTACACCACCACAAAGAAGCGGTACGAAGCGATTCGTGACATGCTGACGAACTACGAGGTGAAAACTGCGGAAACTGGAGTACCATCAAGGTCTGATGAGTTCATTAGCCAACAACGCACTAATTTCCGGGCGCTCTCTAGGGTGATTAAAAACATCAACACCAAAGAGTTGACAGAAAAGTGGGAAATTTGTGACAAACTGAATTCGCTGCAGTCTCGCTGGAAACTGATCGACGAGCTCCACTGGCAAATCGATAACCTGACTTCTGGCGGTGATGTAGGCTACATAGAAGAGTTTTCTGCATACGAAACCTTGTACGAAACTACAAAAAAGGGATTTGAATCGTAAGCTTAACTCAGTATCTCAACAGCATCAGCAAGTGCCTACAATTGAGATTCCTTCTTTTTCTGGTAATTATACCCAGTGGCCTACATTCATGGACCTCTACTGTGAAGCCATCCACAACAATGTCATGTTGACAAAAACGCAAAAGATGCAGCACCTCAAGGGCAAACTTAAAGGCGAGGCGGAGCGCATCGTACAGCATCTTACAGTATCAGCTGATAATTACGACACCTGTTGGGAGATACTCACCCATAGGTACAACAACCGACAACTTTTGTTTACAAAACATATACAAACCCTTATGGGACAACCGGCGTTGCAAACACAGAATGCATACGAGCTGAAGAAGCTACATGACACAAGTGTCGAGACCATACATGCTATTCACAATCTGGGCATCGACACAACGACTTGGGATCCGATCCTGGTGCACATTCTCACTGGCAAATTGGACTCCGACACGTATGCAGCCTACATGGAGATCAGAAAGGCTCCGAGAGAGCTACCTTCCTTGGATGAGCTGATAAACTTCTTGGAAAACAAGTTTACTGCGCTTGAACCTGTTCAAAAGAAGAGACAGACACCTAACAAGTCAAACAATTCGACCAACAAGGAGGCAACAGCTCAATTTAATAAGGACTTTAACAACACCAACAGGCGTAGTTTTCTTCGAGCATATCATACAAGCACAGACAAAAATTGCCCACTGTGTAAAAACAATCATATTTTACTCTACTGCAAGTCGTTTCAAGACATGTCACCGGAAGACAAAATGAGGTCAATTTCGCAACTACATATTTGTCGCAATTGCCTGTACTTACACAACGACAATAAATGCAACTCCAACAAAAGATGCCGCGTGTGCAAAGAAGCACACCACACAACATTGCACGATATTTACCGCAAAGTTGAAATCGCGGTCTCAAATAACGTTATACCTAGCAACAAGCCACATACGTCACAGCAAAAGGCAAACCACGTGTCTGGAAATTATAACGAAGTCCTACTAGCGACCGTTCAATTAAAGGTGATGGCAGCTGATGGATCGACTGTTCAATTGCGATGCCTTCTCGACCAAGGATCACAGATAAATCTAATAACTGAAGATGCTGCGCAACGGCTGGGACTGCAAAGACAAAATCGAAACGCCACAGTCTCAGGCATAGGGACGTCAGCACATCATAGCAACGGAACCGTACGGTTAGACTGTGAGTCTTTGTACGGAGGCCATTCATTTACAATCGAAGCCATGGTAATGGCCAACATGCTCAGCAACCTGCCTAATTACACCTTCGAAAAACAAGACTGGCCACATATTCAGAACATACAATTGGCGGATCCCGACTTCAACATCTCGAGACCAGTGGACGTTCTGTTAGACGCTGGAGTGTATGCTGACATAGTAATGAGTGGTATGCTACGAGGACCCTCACACGCACCCATGGCTCAACAGACAAAAGTGGGCTGGGTACTGCTGGGCAATATCAAAACCTTCAACTGCCACGTGCTCATTAATCTTGACGATGTATCTCGATTTTGGGAGATGGAGGAGATAACCGAAACCAATCACAATCTAACATCAGAGGAAGAATACTGTGAATCTATTTATTCAACCACAACAACAAGAAAAGAAGACGGACGATATGCAGTCAGACTTCCAATGAAAATAAGCTACGAACAAACCTTGGGCACTTCTAAGCCACAGGCAATCGCAGAATTTCGGCAGTTAGAAAAACGATTGGCCAAACAGGAAACATTTTCTACGTCATACAAGAAGTTTATTGACGAATATCTACAACTCGGCCACATGAAGCCATGCACTGAACACCATAAGCCAAGCTACTTCTTACCTCATCACGGCGTACAAAAGCTGGACTCAACAACTACAAAATTGCGCGTAGTCTTTAATGCCTCTGCCAAGACAAGTACAGGACAAAGCTTGAACGATCTCATGGAGTGCGGGCCTAACCTCCAACAAGACCTACAATCGATGATTCTACGTTGGCGAGCCTTTCAATACGTCTACACTGCAGACATTGAGAAGTTTTACCGTCAAGTACTGATACACGATGAAGATCAACACCTGCAAAAAATTGTATGGCGTGACTCTGCTACAGATCTCATCAAAGAATACCAACTGTGCACTGTAACATATGGTACCAAAGCTGCACCATTTTTGGCAATGCGCACCATAATACAACTCGTAATGGACGATGGACACCGCTATCCTCTCGCGGCAGAGATCCTTACTCACCAGCTGTATGTGGATGACCTACTTGGTGGCAGCAACGACATGTTAGAAGCACAAGACGCTCAAAACCAATTGATTGACCTGTTAAAAGGCAGTGGGTTCAATCTTCGCAAATGGGCTAGTAACCACCCCAGATTGCTTCAAACTTTACCTGAACATCTCATAAGCCAGAATATGTTTGACTTCAAGGACGCAGAGAGTAACAAAACACTCGGCTTAACCTGGAATCCGCACACTGATCAGTTTACATTCAAGGCGCCACTTAGTAACACACGTGACGTCACAACGAAGCGGACATTGCTCTCTGATCTATCAAAATTATATGACCCACTTGGTTGGCTGTCTCCGGTAACAATGAAGGCAAAACTCATATTTCAACAAGCTTGGCTTGCTTCAACAAATTGGGATGAACCTCTTCCGGAAGACATACAACAAGAGTGGACAACCTTTCAACAAGAATTGCCCACTATCAATACCATCGCTTTACAACGCTGGATTGGTAACACTAAACAGCCCATCGAGTTACACGGATTCAGTGACGCCTCCGAGAAAGCCTACGGCTGCGTTATCTACTATAAATCTATTAGTGAAGAAGGGCAACAAATTATCACGCTGGTGGCGGGAAAAACTAAGCTCGCACCATTAAGAAAACCCCCGTCTTTACCACGGCTTGAACTATGCGGTGCCCTACTACTGTCTCGACTTATGAAAAAGGTCATAGAGTCAATAAACTCACAGATTGTAACAATACATGGTTGGACAGATTCTATGATCGTGATGGGTTGGTTACAAGGGGGGCCTTCAAGATGGACTACATTTGTGGCTAATCGCGTAACACAGATCACTGTCATCATGCCATCGGGATGCTGGAGGCACGTCAAGTCTGAATATAACCCAGCAGATTGTGCCAGCAGAGGCCTAACTCCACTACAACTGGCGAATCATCATTTATGGTGGGGACCTATTTGGCTAAAAGACAACGATCTCCCACTTCAAGACCAATTCCACACAACTGTTGAAGAGAAAAAGGTCAAACAAGTTTGCGTGTCACAAAGGTCGATGCCATTAATCGGAGAACTTTTAAACAAACACAGCTGTATGGCACGCGTAACTCGAATCCTAAGTTGGATACTTCGGTTCATAAACAATGCACGTGACGTCAACAATGCCATGCGGTCATCGTACTTAGCAACGAGTGACCTGCAGAACGCACATAATGCAATTATCAAGGCTATACAAACTAATCATTTCGCCGACGACATTGCACAACTCAATAAACATCATAAAGTGCGAATAACAAGCAGCATTTTAAACTTAAATCCATTCCTGGACAAACACGAAATCTTACGTGTAGGAGGACGTCTGGAAAATGCCAACTTAAGTCAAGAACAAAAACATCCAATTATCTTACCTTACAATGACAGGTTAACGGAGTTACTGATCGACCAAGCGCACAAGAGGACCCTGCATGGTGGGGCCAGACTAACTCTATCATATCTACGCAACA